ATATATATATATACACACACACGTCCACACGTTCAAACCCTAAATTAAGTCACCGTCTCTAATCCTCCTCTCTCCTCAGCCAGTGCCGCCACCACCGCTCTCCCTTCTTCTTTTATCTCTTCATCGGACTGCTGCGAAGACGCCGTCGCCGCCACCACCACCCCCAAGACGCTACTATCGAGTGGGGCTATTTGAACGTCGCGGAGTGAAGCGACGTTGGCTCCGTTTCTTCTCTGATTCTTTTTTCCCTTTTTTTTAGTGATGTGGTGGTTTCCTGTGTGGTGCTTTAAATCGTGTGGTGCTGTAGAATGCCTGATTTGGGTGAATTTTGTTTGTTGTTGGTGGTGGTTTCCATGGCATGGTGATGTTTAGGTGGTTTTAGTGGCGGTGAATCAGGCTACTGATGGTAGATCTAGTGTTGGTGGTGATGGGTTTGGTCGTGACGATGGTTCTCTGCGTTCTAATTTGGTGGCTGTGCTGTGGAGGTGAGGCTGTGGTGGTGGTGGTGGTGGTGGTTCTGACTGTGGTTTGGGCTGTTGCAACAGCGTGGTTGTGGTCACAAGTGATTTAGTTGATTGTGACCAATAAATTTGTTGGTGTGTACCAATAAATAATAAATTATGATCAATAAATACTGTGTGGCCTACCAATTTATTAATTTGTGACTAATAAAAGTAATTTGTGACTTATAATTTGATGTTTTGTGACCATAAAATAAAAGTCACAATTTGTTCATCGGTCACAAATCACAAAATTTATTAGTCACATAAATTATATATCACAAAACATATTTATTAATAAAACATATAATTAATTCATAAATAAATTTTAATAAAAACATGATTTATATATTGTTCCCAATAAATAATTGAAATTGATTTGGATTGGCCAAAAGTTCAACCTTTTAAGCTTGTCTGACTTAAGAACATACCAATCGTAATAGAAGAAGCATTATCCCTCTATATATAGAAAAAAATCAACAGAATTTCACCAAAAATACACACAATGGGCCCCATTGTGTATTTAAAAAAATTGTGTGGGCCCCACCGTGTGTGAGTGTTCCGGTGAAATTATGGTGATTTTGTTTTTGTACTACAATACATTGTTTGAATCAATAGCTAACATTTTTCTACTATCCAATTAAAAAATTATAGAATTGACGAGTGAGCAATCCATTAGAGACTGCGATCTTCACATATCACGTAACTGACATGTGAAGTTACGCATTGAATTTTATTCATTTTGTGTGGACAAAAGGTCATATAATGCAAGGAGGTTTGTCCAAGACAAAATATGTATGTATAATTTCTCATGTCTAATAAATTAATTCTTTTTGAATAAACTGATCATTCAACGAATTTAATATTGTTGAGCACAAGATAGAAAGGTGATGCAAGAATTAGGCTATGGAGCTCCCCTCTTGCAAGTTTCTCATGTGATGTGTCGTGTCTAGAACACGGTTCAAAATGATGAATGAAATTTGAAGTTTTGTTCCATCTAATCCAGTATATCAAACTAGTCATTATAAGAATAATCAGTAATTAATCAATGTGAGACTCAATATACAATTAACACAATACATTAACTTAAAAGACGGCAATAGCACCTTTTTAATGCAAACTAGTGGAGATCATGTGTTGCGCAGTGTTCTAAAATGCGTAATGCGTAGCGAAGCGTCGATGCCGAGAATCAAGAATCACAAGTTTAGGCGTGTTAATGCGAAGAATAAGCGTCATAATACGTTTTGTATTTTTAAGGCATTAAATATATTTTTATATAAAAAATAGATTTTTTACCAAATAAAAAAATAAAAAATAGGTGGCATAATGCTCCACCTAGGCGGGATTAGGCTCGTCTAGACGGCGCATTTTAGAAAAAAACTCA